GGCATTTGTACATGTATTGTGAAAAATGAGCTCAGTAGTGTCACATACTTAGCTTTGAATGACATCAACTCTTTTTGCACATTGCACTTTTGACTAAAAATTATAACAATACATGTAATTTTATATTGGTGACAATAATAAATGAAGCAAAATAATAATGTATATCTACTGTACATGTATAAAATAATTCTGTGTGCATACATACAAGTACATGTACATGTACATTAATGTAAATAAATGTACTTGTGAACACACAAACATCTTTTGCTATTACATATAAATGTATGTTAACAATATGAGTGCTGTCTTTGATGTGACTGTAGGGCATAGAACTTTATTGGTAAAGGATTTGACTGTGCTTAATTTTGATTCAAATTTGTTTATGTTTTGCATGCCAAGTGGTTGATTTCTGGCTCCAAATTTGTAAAATTAAAAATAGAAAATGCATTTGTATTTGAGCAACATTAATATTTCCGTGTGAGCACTGGGATTTAATTGATTGGTCAAGCATAAAATTTTAAACACTATGACAACCAACTTGCAATTCACTGTATATCCCATTCATTTGCTTGTATCATTACACACCCTCTCAACCTCTCACTCCCTCTCTCTCTCTTACTCTTTCTGTAGATCCAGTTCGCTGTTACTTTCTTTCAGTTTCAATTTGTGTACCTCCACTTCTCCATCTAATGATTTCAGACTCTTTTGAAGTGATTCAATGACCACTCTTACACATAGGTTCCCATTTTTAAGAGCATAATCAAAATTAGGAGAATTACTAGAAAGAAAGGGAGAGAGGATTAAATAGTGCCTCTCTCTTCTCTTACATTTTGTGAATGGTTTCTTTACGTTTGTCCACTTCATCTTCAAGGTTCTTAATCTTCTCATCTTTTTTGAATAACTTCTCCTGCAGTTGCATTGCTTGCTTTTTGAGTTGATCCTGCTCTGATCTTGTTTCGTTTAACTCTGCCTTAGCTGTACAATACACTCATTATAATTGAATTTTAACATTATCTTAAAATTACTTCTAAATTCTAATATCATTCTGTCATGCTCAGTTAATTCAACAGTGGAAGTAATAATGCTACTGTGATCAATTCCATCTTTACTACTTCCACAAGAATCATCAGAATTACATAAACTGTAAATCAGGGCTTAATTATACATTAACATTAAACTGATAGATGCCTTTTCCAACTCATTCCTCCTCCTCTCTCTCTCTCTCCTTATCCCTAGCTCCCTAGTCCCATCAGTTACTGTTTGATAGCAATTAGCACTAGAATCATAGGAAGAGACTGTCTCTGTCCTTTGTAATGGCCTATCGCTTTCAAAAGGATCCTGATATCTACACGAAAACAACAACAAACAAGTAAATAAACAAATGAAAACAATAAGCAACTGTTCTCACTCATTACAAGGCGACAGTTCTCCCTCCAACTGATCAATGAATATTTTACTGACACTAACAGGGCCATTCCCAGCTGTCCTTAACAAATCTATGCCTACAATAATTAATAATTAGTTTTATATATAGATTTACATGTACATGCATTAGTTTTTCCACTTATACCTAAGCTGTTTCCAAAGCTTCTATCTCCTCCTACTAGTCCACTAACTTTGTTGTATAATGTCGTGGAGATATCTACATGTAACCGTGGCAATAGTTACCTAGGCAACATTAATAACTCGCTGTTCTTGGTAAAGTCTTCCTCATGTTACCGTCTTTCTTAATCCATTCTGTATGCTTTGCCTGCAAGTACAAGTTAAATTATATCAATTATTATTAATATAATTTTTACTTGTAGATTTCTAATCCAGTCATGACAGATTTCAGCTGACTCAGCAGTCAAAGCAAAAATTTGACCAGAATGAGTTCTAAAGACACATGTACAATTAATAATTTGATAATAAATTATCATTATTAATTTTAATACTTACAATATTATAAAAGTATTTGATGTGTCCTCATTTGATTCATGTTCATAAGCAGCTGCAGGGCTCACTTTTTCATCATAGTATTAATAACTATTAATAATTATTAATAAACCCACCCAAGGGGCATGTGTATGTATTGTACATAGTTCTCCTTGTTCTTGTAATAATTCAGTTTGCATTCTTTTTCGTTGAACCAAAACCTAAAGGGGAGCTAAGGTCAAAAATTGTTTTCTCTATATCATACATGTATATACCAGTATTTCTGTTGTCCTTTCTTAGTAGAATGAAGACCTTAGCAGAGAGTTTAAGAAAATTATTGTAATTATTAAATGAACCAATTAATTAATTAAGTGATATAACTAAGAACATAATAAAAAATATGAATATCAGTCGTACATGGCATACATGTGTAGTGAAGAATATTGGCTCACGGTTAATGTTGTTAATAAAGTATAAACATAATAGTCATTACATTATAACTGATGCACACATGCGCAGTAGAACTATAATATAAATTAATCTCTCTCTCTCTTGTGTTTTTGTCTTTGTTGTTTTTCTCGATCCATTTGTCACTCTCTTTTGTTATCTTTGGCGATCTTGATAATTGATGATAATAAATTGTTAGTAGAATTAGTTAACTTCTACACATGCAATGCCCCAGTATAATGAAAATATATCCTAATTTATGATAATAATGATCGTTATATACTTACATCTGTGGGAACGTATTCCCATCAATATGATCTTCGATAAAAGATAAAGTGCTAATGCACTAGATTGATAAAGATAACAAATGGTAAAGAGGTAAGGAGAAGAAGGACACCAGAGAGAGAAAATGTACTGTAATGTGTATGCGCATGCGTGAACAGATAATTAATAATAATAACAATACAATTTATTCATTAGTCATGGTAGTGCTAATAGTAGCAAATAATAATAATAATAATAATAATAATAATAATAATAATAATAATAATAATAATAATAATAATAGTGATAATAAGAACAATAATCATTACTTCACCACAAAAGTACAAACAGAATTGAAGGAGATCCTATCTGATGAATCATTATCAGATATTAGTAATCTGTCACTATTAGGAGGACGTGACATTAAGGTAAGAATTAACACACAAACTGTTTGATACATTAATACAAGCACTAATAATCAAAGGTCATATCTTAAAAGTAATTTTTATTTCTTATTTGTCATTATTGTGGGTTGTCATTGTGTGGCCTCTACTACTAACAATATATACTTGTACATCTGTTAAACTCACCTTTCAGCAATACACTACTGGTGTATATCACCTTGATAAACAAGCACAGAGACAAATATCAGTTATTATTATTATTATTGTATAGGAAGTGATTCAAACAACTTTTTCCAAATGTCTATCGAAAAAGTGCCAAATTTAGCAAATTCATATTCTGTGCATTTACTGACTGTTTCATAAACAAAACAGGCAATTAATCAGCTTTGTTACACGGTCAAAAATAGGTTGCACGTCTAGAATGACTTTTTCATTCTGCTCTGAAATATATGGAAAATACATAATGGTACCCATTACATAGTGGTAAAACCATAGAGCATTCTTCATTTCATCAATGCTTTTAACACCACATTTTATCTTAGTTATTTTGAAGCATTTTTCAATATCAATGACACAGCTTATTTCTTTCTCTTCATACAAAACTTGAAGTTTAATGCTAAGTATCAACCATGTCATTGGTACTTCTACAGATTTGAACTGTTTAGTAGCTTTAAAGATTTCTTGCCTCAGTTTACCTATTTCTTTTGAAAAATAAGCAATTTTCATAGCCTTCGATTATTTCATGGACATAAAGGTCACATGTCTCAA